ATGACGAAGCATGCGATAGTCGGTATATTAAAATATGGCGATTATCTCATAAAATGTTATTCAAAAAATTGTTTTAACTTAATTTCACTTAAAATAGCGGGGTTTTGTGGAATATACAAGTGGGATCAACATTCTTTCTCCTTGATTGCTTCAGTTCACATTGAGTTCACGGCTTCCAGCTTTCGAGATGGTACTTGTCAGTAAATAGGAATTTATGCAAACACGAATAGGGCATCATGCATCAGTATTTTGTTTAAAACCTGAAATCTCTAAAATGTTCAATCTAACATCCTCACATTGAAATCATTCCCATTAAAAATATCAGTTAATAAGTTAATATAGATAGCAATACTATACTTTCAATTGGCAAGGAAGTTTACATGTAAACGGTTTTTCTGATTTATAAACAAGAAGATTCCATGACAAGGTCAAATATTGACTTGACTAGTTGCGTATCTTTGCTTTCGCAGTCCCCGTCATGTTTCATGTTGTTGTTTTTCGTATAAGAACTAATGTTTATCAACAGCTTATAATTTGTCACGCAACACACATGCACCTCGTGCTTCARTATCCAAGATGGCAGCAGTATCACCTTTATGGAAGTGGATCGCGTTGTTTTTCATTCTWCTCAGCCTTGGTTTACTCATTGCACTTATCGTTGTTGCAACTAAAGACGCCGGTAATGGAGAAGGTAAGAAAACCTCACAACTTCAAAAAYGTGGTGGAGATAGTTCGCAACCAAGCGTTACAAATAAGATATCAACAACGCCGGGTCTCTTCGATGATTTAACACCAGATGAGATGAACAAGGTCTACAATTACATGGTCAAAGCGTTCAAATTAAAATCCAGAGTTAMATTGCTCACAGACAGTATGATTACTCTTATCAAGTTCTACCCGCCGTCTAAAGATGCAGCCTTGGCTTATTTGGATGAAGGCAAAGAAAAGCCAGWGAGACAGGCTATTGTTGTGATATTCAAAGGAGCGGCTCAGCCTCCGATAGTCGAGGAATACCTTGTTGGCCCAGTATCTACACCGAATAAGCACGAGCTGTTGAAAGTAGATGGTCGGTCGTACCCTATCAACTTCGACGCGAGGCCGGCGCATTCTCCGCGTGAAGATACATTTCTCTATTATGTCATTATCAAACCAATGGCTACAAAACTCTATCGACTTATGTACGAGAGTTATGATGGATATACTATGGCTGATAATTGCACTGATAAGTGTTTGACTTACATTGTCTCGTCACCCCAAGGTCTAACTAGCAACACGAGAGAAAATTGGTACACTTTTGCTCGTCGCCAGCTAGCTTTTTATTCTCACCCAGTTAACTTAGAATTTTATGTGAATCATGCGGGGAACAACYATTTGCAGTGGCGCATAGAAAAGCTACTCTACAATCGACAGCTTTTTAACTCTACTGAAGAATTAATGGATGCCTATGACAAGGGAAGGCTCGTCAAGACATTTATTCCAGCTCCTAAAGGGAACGATAAACGTTTCTCCACTTACGAAAAACGAGGAAAGGAACAGCCTTCCAAACCCAGTCGAGGTCCTGAACAGTACGAGCCCGATGGAAAACGCTACTCTGTGAAAGGTAGACATATCGAGTACATGAACTGGGCTTTTGACTTCCGGGTTGATTCCATAAGTGGACCGCAAATATATGATGTAAGATTTGGAGGAGAGAGGATTGTGTACGAGATCAGTCTACAGGAGGCTATAGCGACTTATGGCGGATATTATCCCACACAGATGAGTAATAATATTCTTGATGGTGCTTATACCATGGGAGAAAAATCATTTTCTCTTGTAAGAGGTAAGTAATCAGTTCAATCATTCSTCCCATGTGAGAGAATACGATATCAGTCCAGCGCGACAAAACTGTAACAATCYATTGAAATTGTAATCCGGAATCCCGTTTGTACTCGAATCGGAATATATGCACGTCAATATCTGTATTCCTTTTTATAAGTCGTTTAWATTTTTATATTGTGTTTCTAGTTAATCTTTTACAACCATTGGGTAATGGAAATAACTTTTTTTAATCGAAATTTAAAAGGTTCTGAAATTCGCATGCCAAACTCTTGGATTCCCTATCGAAATCCAGAGTCGTTCCAAAATCCGGAGTCCGCAATCAACAGGATTCCATCATTTCGAAAGTTGAATTATCTCGTTTTCACATACATTATGTATGAATGACTGCTCGTCTTTATTCATAGTTGTTTTTGTCATTATATTGTTATCGTCAATATGTTTGTTTTCTACAAAGCTAACTACTGTCCTTCTAACTCCATGTTATCAAACATTATATTAGGTTCATACTAGATCTATACTACAAATTTGCAATATGATAGGGCTGCATTGTGTGTTGTTCAACTAAAAACGTACTCACATTGAAATTACAAATACCGCGTCATACGCGAGATAAGGTACCTTAAAGTTGTATGACTGACAAGAAGTGATTCTTCAATAATCTCAGGCACGGATTGTCCAGGAACTGCAACGTTTTTTAATCTGGTGCACATGGTGTACACTGATACTCCATTCGTCATCAAAAATGCTGTCTGTGTATTTGAATGGAACACTGGATCACCATTAAGACGACATTACGATAACGACTTTCAAGGAGGATATACTTTCTATGGTGGAATGGTCAACCAGGTATGGTGTTAACTTCATTAATCTTGTAAACCAACATTGTTGGATGACAACGCGGCCAACTGCGATATTGTTGCAAGCGCGGTATCAAAACTGCGAGAAGAAGGCGTTTGACTTCAAAATTGCGCAAAGAGGAGTTACCGAACCATTGGCTGAGACACTGCTGTGTTGTCTGCGAAGTGCTGCGTAATAAAAGTGTCAAGATCATGGGATGTCTTATAACTATCAAAAATGAATTTGAACGGTCCTCTGTTACGGCTGTCCTTGGTCAGTAAAACGGCACAGCATCGCTTTCGATTGTTTTGCAGCAGCGTTCGAAGTTGGGCCATTTTGCTTCTCGTATCATTTACCGCGGCCCTATTTCCTAGATGTTTTTTGTACTTTCCCTAATCCCATAATAGCGTCCCATGTTAATTTTCCAAGGGAGATTGCGTGATTAGATTTAGTAAGGATTTTCCTTTCTGTTTATCAGGCACTCGTTATGCGAACCATAGCTACAATTGCTAACTACGACTACATACACGACTTCATCTTCTACCAGAACGGCGCGGTAGAAGTGAAAGTGTCAGCATCTGGTTACGCCATGGGTACTTTCTACGATGAGAATGTAAAACCGTACGGTTATCCCATCCACCATAACTTAACAAGCACTACACACGATCACTTACTCAACTACAAAGTTGACTTAGATGTTGGYGGAAGACAAAATTCCTAYGAGACTATCGAAGTCACAACAGAGAACGTAACTGACAAATGGCTACCGGAGAAAAACAGATACTTTGTCAGGAAAGTCTTGAAACGTACCACCAAAAAKACMGAGCAAGAGGCAGCATACRAATTCAACTTTGACCGTCCAAAGTACTTGAACTTCTACAATGAAAAAAAGAAAAACAAAATGGGTGTGTCAAAAGGATACAGAATCCAGCTGAATGGTATCATGAAGCAGTTGTATCCAGAAGACTGGATAATGGTACCGATGATAAGTTGGTCTCTGTATCAGTTGGCTGTCACCAGGTAAGCTTTATATATTATAGATAAAGGGAATTAAACTAGTTTGAAGAAAGTGTATGTAATTTTACTATAACTAATAATTATTGAACGTCCCAGGTACAAGGACACCGAGAGGGAAAGCTCCTCGTGGTACAACCAAAACTCACCAAGTGAACCTCATCTTGACTTTAGAAAATTTCTAGCAGACAACGAATCTATTGTCAATGAAGATCTTGTTGCTTGGGTAACCACTGGAATGATGCACATCCCTCATTCGGAGGATATTCCCAACACAGCCACGGTTGGAAGTACAGCAGGGTTTTATCTTCGTCCTTTTAACTACTTTGATGAGGATCCATCGATGGGTTCGAGTAACGCCATCTTGATAACACCCACTGACAAGAACTACAGTCCTTCATTCCAACGTTTTGGTACCCCGACTGGTCCTGTCTGTGTTCCTAAGGAATATCCTGTTACTTTCGATGGTCGGAACAGAAGCTAATGACATGTGYAAAGACACTCGTTGTCCATTCCGAATCCAYTGAAATAACAGCGATGCAATACATAACAAAATAATATGCAACACTTTCATTCTCCAGATACCTTTTCGTGGACCATGGTGCATTGCACGGTCGAACTAAATATTTTCCGGTATCAGCAGTAAACATAGAAAAGCCAAGACACTAACTTTCCTCATCCCCATCGCCTACCCATGAGAAAGTATATTAATGAAATACAAGTTGAACAGTCTACGCCGCAATCGTCGTGCACGTAGAAATTGTATAAGACTTAACTGATTCCTCTATAATACGATAGTCCACAAGAATTCTTTCCTTATAAAACGCTGTATAAGATGTTGATGTATACCTAGGCGTACGTAATGGTTTCCGCAACTCCTGTAAACGTCCGCGACATTCTATTCCACTGATATTTTCGATATTAACCCCAATCTCGGTAAGTTCTGGGCTTGATAGTAAAAAATGAAATGAAAAGTTTATGGTTTGTTCAGCAGTGGACACAAGGGGATACTCACCGGAGAATCGGGGATAAACAAGAATTATTGAGTTTTAGCAATTTCACTAAACTATTYTTCATTGTATTCCTGCAGCACCGCAGTTTTTATTTTTGTAGCTAAAATTATAAACTACAGGTCTACCTATTCTACAACCTACAACCTACTATCTACTATCCTCCATTATATCGTCCACTATCCTCGTCTAATCGGCACCAGTGTCAGTGAACTTCTTGAAAGAAACAAAACCGGTTTACTAATTTTAAAACGTTACTTTTTTAATACCCAGGAGCTATTTACTATTGCTTTGAATAAATATTAGTTTCMGTTTAATGATTACAAATAATATAGTACTTATAAAAAATAATTGTTCTAATAGTAGTATTTCTTCAGCAAGTTGTTCTAAGCAATGGGCCACTCCTTGACTGGCGTGCCACGACCACTGAAAAGAAAAAAAAGTGTTTGTTTTATTCTTCTTATTTATCAATCCATTGAACTAGCTATATGCATACTACATTGGGTACCAGGGGCTGGATAACCCCCAGCTATTGTGTTTACTRCTTTTGGGGTAGCCCTTTCGTGACTAACGACCAAAAGCTTTCAAAGTCGAGAAAATCCGCGCCAAAGACAAGTCAACACGGACTTTATATATTCTCCTTTCTCTGTCCGAAAATRTCGCGATCATACAATAAAAAGTTACACTTACAAGAAACTTAGCGAACCACAAATTACCTGGAATTCAYGTCTAAGCTGAGGTGCTGATATAATTCTGCTTTACATCCATCAGAATCCATGCGTCCAGCAAACTCTTCGTGCCTTTTGGCAGCAATTGAATTCATTTTGTTTGTCCAGATGGAAAGCAAGGATGGGCCATTTGAAAGTGATCCTATATAAAACAATAATTCCTCAGTACCTACAGTACAATCAAAGGTCTGCCAGAGTATCGCATGCAGAYGGTKCTCATGTTGTCCACTTTTCCCGCCTTTTTTGGTGGTTCCGAATTCGACGCGCGTGCACGTTTTTATTTTCCCGCTCTTTTTGGTCGGAAATATCAAAGTTACAAATAAAGTTGACTTTAGACCATAACTTGATGAAAACGAATTTTCTCATATRTATTTTGCATTACTTTATAGTTATTTGGAAATTCTTTTTCATAAGCTTGTGCAGTCTAATTTACTGAAGTACGTGAAAGATTATGTAGCGGTAAGCATGTTAACCTATCTGAGATTTTTCTTTATTTCGATCAAGAAAATTTCTAATGATATTGAGAATTTTATGTCTGTATTAATCCTCACTGAGATAAACCGCAAAAGTATGACACAAAAAATAAAACCTTCACACTCTGCCAATACAAGAACTTTTTTGTTTTGTTTTCTAACTCTGAAGATGGCACGCAGGATGTYGCTTCCTCAAGACTTCTCACACCCAATCATATCACGCAGACGTTATGAAGTATAGATTCTATCGAGTACCTCGCAAAAGACGAATCTGCACTCAATGAAACTTGCTCTTTAACCCATACATATTGCTGAACTCCCTCCCAATCGCGTTACCTGTTTTGTGTGCCAAATCAAGCCTGTCTTCGGATTTAAATTTCTTTTGCGACCGCTCACTATCCGGGGTGCTTCTTCCTCGTTTATGAAAATGGTCGTTGTTGGTATCTCCTCGATTGAAGTCGCTTCTTTCACGTTCTGACATTGTGTTATATCTAGCAATATTTAAAGAAAAATAGACGGCATTACACGCGAATAAAAACTGATTTTATCTTTGAGTCTTATAAAATGATCTTTCACGTGTTCGCACAACGCAATGATTTCACCAACCTGTCAATTTCTTTCCAAGCCATATCGTTCGAGCCAAAACTAGAACCTGCATTCATTCCTAACAACAAGTTTATAAAATCAAATATCAGTTGCCCAAGTTTGAAAACAATAGATTTT